GTGTGTGATCCACTGTGACGGCTGGGAGCTGATGAGCAGTCAGTCACCGTTTCTCATTAAGATGAGAACATGATAGAATGGAAAACCTGACAGAAGCTATTTTACGTTGATGTTAAATCTTATTTATTTTGGCTCATTGGCTTATTGACTTTAACATCCTGGTTATCAGTAATGCAGACAGATAATTAGTTTTATTGAGTGTGATTAAGTACTTTTCATGGTGCTGTTGATATGCTTGAGTCATGTCTGATGTTTGAGCAGGATGAATGTTAAGGTTTACCACAAACCTCAGATCAATCCTTCCCACCTGAAAAGCTTTGTCACAATATGTTTCTTAAACTTCAGTAAAAATGGCTTTGCTGCTTAAATAGATTTACACACATTCATATCACCTCTTCACTGTTCTCTATGAAATACTTTCACTTGATATATGGTTGCTAAAATGGCCTTGCTCAAGGGCAATTGCGCAGTGGCTGTTAAAGGTGATAGAGATGATAACTCACGCACATAAATGCTCAAGCTTGGAAATTTGATTCAATGATTGAAGGCTTGAAGCCCATTCGAGCCGCCTTACAGATGCCCTGTCTGTTACGGAGTTTGGTTATTGTCTTTGTCAGGATGAAGATTGAACTTTTAATTGCACGAACATTTCAACCAGTAGGGACAAATGAATGAAGATATTTGTTTATTATATAATATAATACTTTATTAAGTCTTGACAGACTGTCTCTGCAGGGAGGTTTTTGTGATCGGGCGGCGTCTGCCCTGAGCAGCAGCAAGATAAATCCCCCCGTGGAGTCTGGTGGTGGCGGCTGATGACTCTGCTGAGGCTGATAGGCTAATGAAGTAATGCAGCAGCTGAATCTGTGAAGACTGGGGGAGGTGGAGGGCAGCACATCACAGCTTGACCTTCATTTCTTTCAGGCATATTTGGGTTACAGTTAGAAATAATTGTGGCAAAGAGAACCAAAAGGCCCAGTGGTGCAGTGATTCCAACTTCTCAACTTTGCTGCTAATTCTGTGACTTTTTAAACTCCTGCAACTTTATTTCTTATACATGACTGACAACAGTTCTGCAGTGGCAACGTTTTCCACACAACAAAAGAACAAGCTGTCATCCAAAGCATAAAAACCACATGTTTGTAAAGCTGTGGTATGTTCAGTGTGAAAACATTTTAACATTGCACACAGAACTTTGCAATAGAATTTTTCAGTTGGTATTTCTGGTATAAAAAAATAATAATAATAATGATAAAACCCCCAAAACAGTAGTGACCTGTTAACTACAGTCCAAACACTAACCAGTGCAGTAAGAATATTGCATGCAAGATTTACTCAAAGAGGACACACAGCTGTATTATTTTGGTGCTATAATAGCAACAAATGCATTGCAGCAGCAGGACGTTAATTACAGCGCCGTTAACATTTAGAAGAACAGTTTGGCTGCATCGAACGTCTCTCTGTTGGTGGTTGTGCTAGTTGCTGATGTTTTCAGTCTTTTTATTGGCAGACATTTTGGCTTGTTAAAAAAGGAAAAGCACAGGTGTAAATAAGAACTTTAATGGCTTCATTCCATTCATTTCAAGTGTCCTAGTTAGCCATGACAGAGACATTATACCCAGTAGCGGGACACTGGAACTTATTAATGTTATAGATTACACCTTTCCTGCTAAACATGTCAAAACATCTGCTGTGATAAATGTCCACAGAAGAGCTCACATGGCTTTAAAGGACCAATGTGTGGGATTTTGTGGAATCTAGCGGTGAGGTTGTATTTGACGACCTAGAAAAGAGAATCGGGCTGTGAAGTGTGTAGGAGAAACTATGATGGCTGCAAAAGGCTCTATCTACAGCCTGTGATTGTTCTGGGCTACCGTAGAAACACGGCAGTTCAACCTGGCGGACTCCATTGGACGCAATCCATAGTGTCTAAATGTAAAATAAAAACGTCTCAAAAACACAACACTTCCTATATTCAGGTGATTATACACTAATAAAAACATACATATGAATACTATATTCCAATTCTGCCAATAGATCCTCTTAAATGTTACACGCTGGATCTTTTTAAGCAACCAAACATTGTGCAGCACTGAACTAATTAAGCCTATGCAGTAAGGTAGGATCAAACTAAATGCAGTGGCTTCCAATTTAAAGCCACAGTAAGCCAGGTGAGTTAGCTACTGGCTTGCTAGTCTCACAGGATCATGTAATTATTATGAATGAATTTATCATGTATACTTTCTAGACTTACCTGCACCCAAAAACTCCATTCATTGAGGTTAATGTTAAAGCTTATTTCTGCCCTCAGAAATGTTCGAGAAAGGAAAATGTTCTTTCAGCAACCAGTTATCACACAACTAAACTAAACTGCCTTGAAATCAAAGGTCAGAAAAACTTAAATGAATTCCTGAGTGCTCTGATTTAAAATCACCTAAGAATAAAACCTGTGTGTTTCAGAAACTGACCAACTATCTTACAAAAAAACTAGATTATGTAGCAGCAACCACACAGCACTTCTTCTCTAACTCCTGTGAGGAACTAGGTAGTTGTCAGAATATGTCTGACATTTTTGTCCAGCGACTGTATGTTGTTCAGGTAACTTATTTGTATCATCACTCAGTGATATTCATTGTATCTCGACCTGCTCCCATCCGGGACCTGAATCTGCCTTCTTGGCTGTGCTGCCATTGTCTATTGTCAACTGTGGCTTCAGTAATCTGTGTTGAAACAATAACGACTATTGTTTGTATGCAAATGTAATGTAATTCAACCAAATCCAGTGGGAACAATGCTTCATATAGCCAGTGCTGACCTATATACAGGGTTATTTCTCCTGCATAGACAAAGAACAGAGCCTCCTCCCAGCACACATTATCCTCATTAATGTCAGTGTATAATGGACTTGCGATGGGAATGGCTCATCGCATACATTAACATTATGCAAACTCTATTAGCCGTGTAATGTTGCATGAATTCACCAAAGTGTCTGTGTAGTCCTTTCACCGTCCCGTGATCCTCTATTCACTATTAGTCCCCACAGCGAGTGTATAGTTCTTCAAAGAGAGCAGGATGTCTAATTGTACTGCTAGCGGTTAGCAAATCTTCAGCTTCATTTGCTCCAATAGCCTCATTACACCAGGAGAGCATCAGTGACCTCGAGGTACTTGAAAAACACAATCACATTTGGATATTGGGAGTATTTTTGTCTCTATTTATAGATTTATCCACCATTATTGTACACTCGGTGGAAGAGCGGGGTCCCAGAGTGCCAAACAAGTTAATGATTTGCACTCACAGCTGAAAAAATCTAAATGATAATGATATTCAGTTCATTTTAATGATGGATACATATGTTTTAGCCTTTTGGCTTTGATCTGGGTACTAATGTGTGCGTGATATTCATTCATTCATTCATTATTACGTAAAATAATTGCATAACTCAAAAGGATAACTGATTGTCTTTTTTAAAGCTGCATACAAAAGCTAATTAACTGAAATGTATTTCTTTTTCTGAACTTTTTATACCATCCAAAAATAATACTTATTCATATACATGCTATAAATAAAATGAACAAAGCAAACATGGAAGTACATTGACGACAAAAGCTTTGCGAGAGCACAGAACAAATTCTGAGCGCTTTCCAGTCTGCAAGTCGACATTTGAGAGTGCGCAGACACAAATTCATAAGAACAGAATAAGATGGTTTGATTTTCTTTGTAAAGGTTTACAGTTATCTGCTACTGAGACTTCTGCCAGTTCCACCCCAATAAAATGGAGATAAATGGAAGTTGTGGTGCTCAGAGCAATAAAAAATAAATGGTTATCCTTAAATGCTGTTTTTATTTCTAAAAACAAGCTTAATTATGAATGATCATATTAACTGTGGATTTTCTTGGAGAAACTGCGACATTATTGCTGGAAAGACAATTTACTGTTTTAAAACGTTGTTCTTTGAGCACCATGCGCAGATCCCCATCCACATCCAGACAGATGTCTTTAAATCTCTGCAAATATAACCACAATCAGTATAGCTACATGCAAACAAAAATATGTTATCTTGTAATTTGAACTAGCTCTTTTAGATCAGTGCAATAAGAGTCTGAAACTGTTCGCCCAGCCTTTTCATTTAGAGACCCTGGGGTGAGTTTCTCCACAGAGAAACCGGCTCAGTGAGGAGTGTCACATGCAGACAGATTTATTCTAACACATAACAACTGACCTCAGGCTCACTGCAACTGTTTGAGACAGAGCTGAGTAAGAATTGAAAAAAGATTGATTCACCTCCTTTTAGAAAGCGACATGTACTGTTACAAAATGATTGATAGCATTTAAACAAATGAGGTGCACTCCAACAGTTATGTTGTTCATAATGCTTCATTTTCCTATGTTCCTATGTTTTCTTTTGTTCTATCAATCTCTTATATATTAAACCTGGTCTGTTTTCTGATTGTTTATGCCTAATTGAAAAACAATTAAAAGTAGAAATTGTTATTAAAAACTGTTACTAAAACAAGTTTCAAATTGATGACATTCTTGCCACAATGATACTATAAACCCATTAACATGGTATTTGTTGGTATCTTGAATATATCTACAAGGATCTGACTCATTTCAGTTTTTTCTGACTTTTAAATAACATAGGAAATGACTCACAAATTGCATTTCATAAGCATGTGACTTTCATTTTTTTTTAATGTCAAATTCTCAGTTAAAGTCCACAGATGTGGTTACACAACAGGCCATTCTGGAAAATCTGCAGTCATAAACGGATATATGAAGATATTTATCAGTGTATGAAATGTTGTCTGGGTACTGTGCATTCAACAGTTGAAATATGTTACACTAGCCAGTTAACACTATACTAAACACAAAGATGAGTACTGTAAACAGTGGCATTTAGCAAAGATGCATACAGCAGTGCTTTGTTAATTAATGTGACACTAAATCACCAGCACTTAAGTCAAGATGTTCTGTTTATTGTTGTGTGTTTTTAAAGGGAGCAGCCCATCTTCAGCGCCAGAGCTCATGTCTTCCAGATTGACCCGGCCACCAAACGCAACTGGCTGCCAGCCAGCAAACACGCCGTCACCGTGTCCTTCTTCTACGATGCCAGCCGCAGCGTCTACCGCATCATCAGCGTGGGTGGCACAAAGGTGGGAGCGCAACGCACATGTGACTCCAACGATTCACATGTAATGGTCAGCGTGGAGTCGTGCTAAAGCAGACTTTCTTCACATATTGTTGTTTGGTATCATTTTTAGGTCAAGGCACAAAAGAAGTAATTATGCTTAAATTCTTTTAAGAGGAGAAATGTGAAAAAGGTGTCCAATATATCACTCTTTAGCTCACATTTATCAAAAGTGTACTGATTGATTCTAACGTGCTCTATTTAACAAACAAATATAACAAATTTGTGATGATTGTATTTCTGTCGGATAAAGCCAGCACAAGATGTAGTGGGACTGCAAGAAAAATCAAACCAAGCTTCTATTAAACTTGAGTGTGCTGTACCTAGTTGCACTCAGCAGTGAGACTAAAGTGTTTTCCTCATATGGTATTAGTATTACATTGGTGAAGGGATTCTCCATTTGTGTAGTATCATATCCTCCTGACTTGCATTTTATTCAGCCCACTCTCTGAACCCTATCCTGAGATTCTTCAAATAAGTGGAAATAAATCTGTTTTCCATTTGGTTGTGGCTGTCATGGGTGGGGATGCATTAGTCGGAGTTGCTCATTGTCAGCAGAATATTTATAACACACCCGACATCGCTAATGCCAAGTCCACAACAATGGTAAAGCACCAGGGAGTCCCAACACTAACAGCATATCTTGTTAGCACCTAAATGAAACTCAAAGAAAACACTTCGCTTTGTAGTGAACTGCCAATTGTGCCAATTTACCACCCTGAGACTTGAGACTTTTGGATAAAAGACCAAAGAAATCTACATTTGGCAACAACTCCACCTTATCAGACACTTGAGAGCGTTACTCAACAGCACACCGCAACAAGCTTTTTTACTTAGCTCTTTCTGTGGCCTGGTTGTTAGATATTTTGTCTTTATTTGCACGCACAGTTCTCCAGTAGACCTCCATAATGTTGTTTTTTTTTAACTGTAAATGACACAACTGCACAACAAAGGACAATTACATAATCCAAACGTGGTCTTGTGGTATTAAGGTTGCCATGTTATGTATTACTGCTAATGAGCATAAAGGAAACCATAGAACTCCCAGACAAAACCAGCCTGTTGTAATGAGCTGCTGCACAGTGAATCGTTGGCCTCTTGTTAATCAGATGAAAATTTGCTGGTCAAGTACAATGAATGAAAAATATCACTGGGCAGTAATATAATTTGGCATTTAAAGGTGACAGAAATTATTAATGTTCTTCTTGTTGATTCTGGATGTGATGAATTCTTTGTCCTTGAAAATGACCTTCTTTTGAAAATGGGCTCTTAAGCACGTAGCTTGATAAATGCATACAAGTACATGCAAGTGCAGAACCCTACCAAGTTAAGCCTGAATTAGAGTTGATGCACCTTTTTAACAGCTGCCGTAGCTGTGGATTTACTTAAAAATTCAAACTATGAAGACATTTGTGAAATGAAAATATGTCTGTAAGTAGTTCTGAAGGAAATATAACAATTTGATTTAAAAATATAATCTGATTTGTTATGAATAAGAAATCTATCCCAGTGAACAAATAAGATAAAAATGTATAAAATATAAATCACAGCAATTCCAATAATGTTTTGTCTAATCTTTTAGTGTTGATCCCCCGTAGACAGTGTACATAATACATGTTTAATATCCCTCTCTGATCTTGCTCTTCTTTTTATATTTATCCTGTAAACCTGTGCAACATCCTGTTATTTATCTCAACAATGTCTCACCTTTCCTACTGGGATCATTCATCTGATGTTTTGTTCATGTTATTTATTACTTCTTTTATAATCTGTGGTGTTAGGCCATCATCAACAGCACCATCACCCCCAACATGACCTTCACCAAAACCTCCCAGAAGTTTGGCCAGTGGGCAGACAGCCGGGCCAACACTGTCTATGGCCTGGGCTTCTCCACAGAGCAGCAGCTGCAGCAGGTAAAAACACCTCTCGTACACAAATCGGCAACTTTCAAACAAAACACTTCAAAGAGTCTTTCATTTATTTGACATTGCGCAGACAGGGTGTGGGGGAAAAGAGAGGCTACGTGAGCAGGAGAGGACAGTGATGTGATGATCAAGGCCCCATTTTTTCAACAGATTCTGTCACTGTCTGATGCAGCTGGGTTACATTAAACACATAGACACATAGACAGTGGCAACACTGTATTTGGATAGTCTGTCTACAAAGAGTTCACGTAGAGAGTATTTGTAATGTTTCATTTCTTACAAATACTTCCCCACAAGATATTTATTTATCTCCAAGATTTTAATTTTGCTGAGAAAACATGACCTTCAGAGAACATCTGTCACACACATTTATTTATTTATTTTACGTTTAACCTAAGCTGTCATCTAAAGTAAATTCAAAATAAGCTTGAAATTATAGATTATATAGCGTCACAGCAGCTGAACAGTATTCTTGTTACCCCAGAGTATCAGTATGTAACCCGTGGCTTTCACAAAAATTGATATGGAAATGAATAACAAATGCACAAATGTGTCACCATTACACACCAGATAAAAAACTTTTCAGTAACTATAATGTGTGTCATATGTTACATTCTGACCTGGTGCCTTTCCTCTATATTTTGCCGAACCTCAATAGTGGTGGCTACTAGTCTTGAGTCTTGAGAATAGTGTGTGGACAGATTTGTTTGCTTTCACCACCAATGCTGCTGGTTTACCGGTATGCTTGATCAGCAGCGAGAAATTAACATTATAAAGCTCAAATATGTTTGCGGTTCCAGACAGATTTTCTATTTTCTTCTCCGGCCAAAAATGTCTCTTTTGATAGTAAAGGTTGCTTTCCCCTGCCCCAGAGTGACACGTAAATGCTATAGTATTATCATGGAGGAAGGAAGATTTAAAATAGTGGTTCAAGGTGTTGTGTGTTTGAGTGTTACTTCGGTCTCATCTCTTCCTCCTCCTATAGTTTGCAGAGCAGTTTAAGGAGGTGAAGGAGGCGGCCCGTCTAGCCAGAGAGAAATCTCAGGAGAGGTTTGAACTGGCCAACCCTGCACTCAACATTGCAGCTCCAGAGGTAAAGCACTGCTCTACTTTCTTAAAGCTTTTTAAAGTTTTCTGATGTATTCTCTCTGATCAGAGCATTTGGTAGAGAATGGAAACTCCATTTACTCAAAAAGCATAAGCCATAAGTTGTCAGGTCATAACAGATCTGACAAAAATATCAATGAGATCGATCAGTCATGCTCGGTAAATGCCACTGTAAATGAATGATAAGCATTTTACATACTGATATATGCATTTTTTGCTATGCTGATTTATTAGTAATTGTAAAGTATAACAATTAATCACCTCATGAAAGCTTTTCCATTTGCTGATCTGAAAATAAACACTGGCAGATTGTTGAGTATCCTGAATAATTAGGGCATTGTTTCAAGACACATTGCTACTTTGTTTCTTAAATTGAGTTTTGAGATCCTTTGAGCACCACAAATAAGGTTCGTTCACCTCCATTATATTGACGATGGTGGAATTCTCAAGCGGCAATAATTTCCAAACCTCAGCAAATCAAACCAAAACTATCTGCACAGAGGATAGTTTCATTTCAACTTACTGAGGTAGGGGTAATGAGGAGTTACATTAGTGTAAATTGAGCCTTAAAAGGGTCGAAATTTGCTGTGATATCTGCAATATGTGTACAGACACCACCAAGGAAACTGCTACTGCTTAGTAATTTAAAAACAAGATGGTATTATTCTAAATATAAAATAATAAAAAGCCCCCAGTGCAAGTATTTGCTGATCAGACTTTAGAGTAAATATCATTTTTAACGTGAAAAAAGTCTAATAGACTTTATGTCCGGACATGGCCTTTTAAAAAGGATCAACAACATGTTGTAGCAACTGAACCTGTGACCTCGAAGGGACTCGATGGTCTCTGTAACCCCCAGACCAAATACAGAGACACAGCGGAGGAGTAATATCCTGACGAACTCTGTGCCTTTTGTTTCTATTTTAGACATATACAGAATCACGAAGGATTAGATGGATCCCCATCTGGCCGCTCCATTATTCTCCCATTGGTTAACTCCATTAAAAGATTTCATGCATGACAAATGGAGATGGGAAGCAGAAAGAGGCGCCGGCGCTGAAGGTGTTTGGAGGGGTAGTAATGGCCAGAAAGAAAGAGGAATGAGGGATCAGGAGAATGGAGAGGAAAGAGAAGAGATGGGAGGGAGGGACGGAGGGGAGCTGAATCATCTATAATTGAAGGGAATCTGGCTGCTGCTGAAAGGACAATGGGCAGCTTTTATCCTGCCAGTATTGGTGATTTCTTGGTGGATGTGATAACTCTGAGGTTCAGCTGCAGAAGTGAAAATTTGCCTGAAGTGGAAACTTTTTGTCCTTCACCTTTTTTTTCACAAGTAGATTACAGGACACAGAGTGATATTTTCTAGGGCATCTCTTCTGACATTTACAGAATCAGTTGGTGCACACTCTGTTTGGGTGGCTGTGATTGAATTGTACAAACATGAAGGAAACAAGGTCACATGCTGACTTTTGGGAAGCTTCAGAGCTGAGCTGCCAGTCTTGTTTATTAGACTGTTCTGCCACGTATTAGCAATAAGAATGTATTTGGTTGTTGTAGTGACAGGGATTCTAAACAAACTGAAGTGTGTCTGTGTGTTTCTGTGTATGCATTGTTCAGAAATCCTAACAAAGAGCCACTCAGCAGATCTGGGAGTCTGCAGAGTCACGCTGCCAACGCTGCGACCTCAGCTCAGAGACACTCAGATAAGAGCTGATGGTTTGTCTTGTCTTTTTGTGTGGCAGAGAGAAAAAAAACTCCTGGATGCGACAAAACAGAGCATCAATACAAAGAAGGTCAACAGCACAAGAAGTCCGGTGCACAAATTGAACAATATTTCATTGTACTAGCTGACATTTAACGGTAGAGTAAATATTGTTTTCATTGAGGCCAGGACAGTTTTCTCAGAGTATTGATGCTGGACTGAGCTGCACAGAAGCAGACTTGAGACTGGGAGGTCAAAAGTCAGGTTGATTAAGTGTGGCGTGTACAAATTCCTTTAACTGCAAATGAGGCTTTAATGTGTCATATTCTGATTGATATTCACACTTCAGTTCAGATCAGGGCTCATTTGTTAATGCCTCAGTGTATCTCTTATTGATCGCTTACTCTTCTGATCAGTCATACTTTTTAGACTTTTTAGAGTCAATGTATTTGTATAACGCTTTTTAAATTCACATTGTCACATTCACACAATGTGTTTTATAGTGAAAGAAAAACAAAGTGGAGAAAACAAGAATAGACATAAAGGCTAAAAAAGAAAACACTGTTTTCTTCTAAAAACTGTACAAAATGGATTTAGAAGCAAATGCTCCTTTTTTGCACGTGTTGCATGTTGATATAGCAAATCTTGCCACTTGTACACGCATGTAAAATGAATTTCTTGCCCCTTCATGCCTCTCCTTTGGCAGGCAAAGTTTCAGAAGTTTCTGTAGACTGTGCAGTACACAAACACACTGTTGTGTAATGACTGAATGCATTTGTCAACCATGGGGAGGACATTAAGTATAAAACAGCTGAATTCATGCCCTCAGTGTGTCAGTTTGAAGTGCAACATCGCACATAAAGGTCAGAGGTCAGGGTCTGTGACAGATCAGCAAGCAGAGGTGTTACATGCTGTTACCATGGCTACCAGAGACCTCTTTGCTTGTTGGGTAGAGCTTAGAAAACAGAATACAAAAAACCTGTCCCCCTCCAAACACACACACACACACACACACACACACACACACACACACGGTCATGCATACACACGGTCATGCATACACACATGCTAAATTGATTAATTAAGCACACACACAGAAACATCACCCGGATAGAGCTGCAAGGTCAGATGCAGGCGAGCAGCCTAAACTGATTTCTTGATAGGACAGCAGTCATTGATTTTGTGTCGGGCCGTAAACACAGAGGTGTTGTGGAGGTGTTGTTGTGGTTATTATCACATCTTCTGACTCACCGCTGCACACTGTAAAACACCATACTGCTGACTGTCTGAACCTGCGTAATACCAAAATAATACCCAATCAAAGCTGTTATGGATTGTGAGGATGTGAGGTTATTGTGTAAATGAACCACAGCCAAGTATTAATGGCAGCCTTAGTGCGGCTATAATGCCAGTAAAGAGCTCCATTAAGGCTGTTTATATACCAAAATGTGTAGACTGTTTAAAGCTTTCCACAAACACCAGGTCATATTGTGAATGAGAACCAAATCAATAAAGATCACAGATTGAAGTATTAAGTATACAAAATACATTTGACTGATGGCCAGTCAAAAAGTAAAGACATAGTAGAAGAGGAACATAATGTTGTAATAATACTGCAGGCAATCATAGAGCACACACAGGCAAATAGGCAAACTGTACGTTATGATGAACTGATAACCCCACAGAGAATGTTTATACAACACTGCAGGGAAGCTGCAGCGTTGTCAGTTTTATTTTCCTCTTTACTCAGTGTAGGTATTGCATCACATTCAGCTGGTCAGTAATGGCCATGGTCACTAACCATCTACAGTATTTAGCAGAGCTGTATTTATGCAGCCTCAAGCTTTATACAGATTCTGCCTCTGTGTGGATGGCAGCAGGGGATCTGCATGCGCGCAGTAAAGCTTCAGCTTTCAGACTTATTTGCAGAGCTCAGAGATAAGATGGAGGAGGAGATGGTGAAGTTCAATGAGATAAAAATGAAGAGTGATAAACAGAGCAACACATACAGGATTGTAGAACTCACAAGTGCAAGGACAATCAACATTTTTATTTAATATAATAATTTTTATAGAATATATTTATTTATTTATTTTGTAAATGCTTCATTTAAAGGTTTTCGAATTGACCTTCGGAATTGAGCCCCTAACCATGGCCCTCCTTTATGGCATGTGTTGTGCAGTAGAATATAGCTTAAATAAGTATTCTCTCTACTTTATAACACATGTTTTTTCCCTTTCATTTGATCTATCACAAAACCATTGATTCCTTCTCTAGAAGATGTTTTCTTAAATATCTTGTGTTGGTGGATATTCACTGAGTAAGCACATATGCAAACTATTACTTTAACAGCAGAAACAAATAGAGAGCAAGTGAGAAGAGAAGTCAAAATAGATTTTTTTAAGTAACTGATAAAAAATTGAAATGTTGAGCCTCTGCTTGTCCAAGTGGTAGCAGTTCGAATGCAAATGTTCCTGCTTTTTCTACGGAAAAAAAGAGACTCTAAACATTGAAAATTACAGTTATTAGTGTTAAATAGTATCCAGTTTAAAATCAGACGTGGTGGTTGTGAAGAGGTACTTGAGATCATCTTACAGGACTGTTGGTTTAGAACCACTGAGCTACATAGTAAAGGTAAATAAATGCCAAAAAGGGTATAAAAGAAATATCTCCTGTCCATGAATCATTTGAACAGCAGTGTACACACAGCAGGGTGTAGAAGCTGTTTCCCTCCTCTGACAGGTTACAGCTGTCATTTGTTTGCGTCTGCTGATTGGAGCTTTTTTCCCTCTGCGACCTCCTCCCATACATGGTATCTATGCAGAAGCAGAAATGCCAGTCATCAATATTTTAATGCACAGACTTGGCATTAAACCCAGCTAAAAAAGTGTGTGTTTTTGGGGTGTGTGTGTTTGTGTGTTGTTTAGTCGGGAGGTCAGGTGCTTCAAGGGAAACCTAACTGATGCATTGACGCATGAATAAATAAAGCAGGTTTGTGGTCTCAATGAAACACAGGGTGTAGAAACAGTAGCTTTAAAAAGCTAAAGGAGCCAATGGACTGACATGCAGATAAATAAGTAAACAGTGTAGCTGTACTTAAGACGAATAGTGGTGCGGAGACGTCATGATGAAAGCGCTCAGGAAAGCTCTTTAATATTTAAAGTATCTGGGATTCCATCGATTACAAAGCAAACCTTTTCTCAGGACCCTGAAAAGTTGAAAACGGTGAATGGTAAAGCTTTCATGAACTGGGCCCTGGGTGGATCACCGTTTAGTTAAAATAATAGTACTTAACGTATTTGTTTTAATTATCTTGTAACTATTTTTTCCATTCCTCCCCATCTCCCCCTTCCTTCTTCCTTTCCCTCATGCATCATGGAACATTTTCATCTCTCAGCTCTCCCAGGTGCGTGAAAACACACACTCCACCTCACAAGCAAAAGAAGCAATACAAAGACAACCATCTTCTTTTGTCCAAGGGACTGCTGTGTTCACAGTCATGTATCTTAGTGTTGCATGGACTATTACACTCAATAATTCATCTGGAGTCTGATCAAAGTTGACTTCAGAGCTAATTTATCTTCAGAACACAGCTGGATTTTGCTACAAAAGAGTAAAAGCTTTGTTAACGACGGAAGCAACAACAACAACACCAAATGTAGTCTGTACAGAATATGGCAACATGCAGGTAAATTCATTAGCTGATTTCTGTTTTACTTCATCAGAATCCAGACTACACACTGATATCATGAAATTTCCCCTGAGAACAGATAATACACATATGTCCTTTTTTAAAACTGGAAAATCCTTGCAGGTCCTTCGAACTCTGGCTAATTGTTTGTAGGCTTGTTCTCTTGTGTCCCGGGCTTGTTTCCACTCGGCCTGTTAACGAACAACATACGGAAAAACTGCTGTAAATTTGTAATCCCATTTATGATTTAAACATGATCCAGAGTATGAATTATGCAGGGGTACGCACAGCCGATCCGTTGGCTTTGGGGCCGGACTGGAGTTTTCTTAGCTTTGATTTCTCTTGCTCTCGGGTTCCTTCTCCTGGACACGATGCTCATCCACATGAGTCGGCTGCGTGTTTTATTTCCATATCCATCCGTAAGGATAGACGGAGAGCTGCTGAGCTATAGATAATAAAACATGTTCCTCGGGGGAATACAGTCAGGCTTGCTCAAATTAATAATACAAGCTCTTTCTACAGTAAGTGCAGGGTTGTAATGCTTCAGTCAGGCACTTGGTTGTTGACAAGTTCAGGTTTAGGTTTCCACACAAAAAGAAAAGACAGAAGGCAATGGGTGGTACAGGAATGTGCCCAAGCCCAATTCATCTGCACGCTTTTAGCTCACAGCCTCAAACTGAGGAAAATGGTTCACAAAACTGTGTGACAGGAAGCTTGAACCCATTTCTGGGCAGCAGGGAAGGAAAATATCAAAGCAGATTGGTTAGACTTGACTGTGCCAGGCTGGAGTCAAGCCATCTGCATGCTGTAATGTCATATTCAAAGTCTCCCTTTGACGTAAGAGGAAGATAAATGGATCTTCTTGCTCTGTGTCACCATTCAGTTTATTTAACCTTTCTTTTATATAAGAGGGCACTCCTAATGAGCTAGGAAAGCAGAGGCAGAAACAGCTGACTTTTATGTTGCAGATATAGTAGTTTACTTAGGCAAAACGTATGAAAGAGTATGAAGGCTCAACCTACAAATGTTAACAAATAACTTAATGTTCAAATGTAATAATCAGGCTGCAAACAAGGAAGGAAGTTGAACCTTGTTGATTTTATGGCTCCAGATTCATTCAGTGTTTTAACTAAAGGTCACTCAAAAGTTTAGATTTTCTTTCTAAATGTGTTACTGTGAGACATCAACTGTCTTATCCGTCACCATAATCTCTTCTCTAAAACACTGATTTCTAGCTTAAAGATCTTCAAACTGTATGAGCAAGTACTGAAAAACATAAACGCTTGGATCTATCATAGCAAAAAGAGATTAACGTGAATGTCTCTGTAAATGATGGTACTATTGGTGTGTTATTATGTGCATCAACAAGTTAGTTTTAAGAAGAAAAACTAAAGCTCCTCTAAAACTACAGTATCTGAGTGCTTGTATTATAGTCATGGTAGCAAATTACAAACTTCAACTTGACAAAAAATCGAAATGGCATGAATAAAAATTAGACTTAATCTTGTAAATTTTGAATGAACTGAAACAAGACTATCTTTAAATAATGAATCTGTTACAATATAGCTACAAGGTACGACAGGATGAACCTCAACTTGTAAGACAGCATCGAAAAGAAGTCCTTGAAGTACTCAGTTAAAAATGGAATGAATAAACTGCTGCTGAGGAAGATCATGTGATTTGAATGAATGCTCCAGAACAGCTACTGAACCTTTTACGTAAGATGTAGATGTAGTTCCACATTATCGTTATTTTTACATGATTATCTTCCATTAAAATGACAATCACATGACTAAACTGTAATTCTGCTACGTAGTGAGCTTATTGCCAGATGTGCAGTATATTCAATGTGTCAGCAGGAAACCAGCATGTGCAAATTTTTTTACATAAACACCAGATGAACTCTTGGAACAGGGAACCGTACTTCAATCTCTTCCTGCTGCATCAGAGTCCAATCAGATCTTTGTATGAAGAGAAGGCAGCCGGGCTCCACACATGGCTGCTCACGCTGCAAGGAGTCGGTTTACAAGAGCCCAGATGGGACATATCAAGCACTGACAGGTTGAGCTCGGTCCTGTCCTGCTGCTGTGTCCTGCCCGTTTGATGACAGGTCTGGATGTAGAGACCGTAATGGTCCTGTCACCAGCTCAAACCTGAACCTCTGAGCCTTAAGTCTAAATAATGAGAATCCTGTATCAACTGTGAAACATCCTCAATCAATATGTATATGGTTGTATTGGCCTATTAAATGTCGTTTAAAACATCCACTCAAGACTAAATGCACTAGTTGTTCCCTGTTAAGTCCTCTTGTCCTCTATCAGAGGACTCTTGTCTCCTAATAGGAAAACTGCAGTGTAGTTGATGATTTACATTGTAATACCAAGAAGCATCTGTTGTTTAACACACAAAAGGTGTGTCTAACCTTTTCGTTCTCATCGGTTTTCTTGAGGCAGGGTAAGCACTGGTACAGAATTAAACTAATAACATTTTAGAATAGCTGCTACTGATTTTCATTCCAATTAGCTGCAGCTTATTTCCTGTATGTTTGTATATATGTTTTGATCCAGGACTTGTCAGAGGAGCGCCATTCTCCGCCGCTGCTCACAGTCAACGGGCCGGCCGAGGAAAAGCTGTTTCGCAGCAAGAGTGCCGAGGTGGAGCTAACGGTAGAGAAGGAGAGGGTCAAAAAGATGTTGTCTGAAGGGTAAATGTTTTTTTTTTTTTCACTTCAGCAGGAAGTTTAAACCTCATGTGTCACCATGATAAAACATTAATTTTTTTTTGTTTTAGTTTGAGTTTCTTAGTCTTGTAGTTTTAGATCTTTATTAACCTGATTTAACCTTTGCATTACTAACCAATAAGCTATAATGATCAGAACTAGTCTCTGAAAGACATTGTTAACAGCACTTTCAGAGACTTTTTATTTTAGTCCTAGTACATTCCAGTCCATTCCAATATAATGTATGTAATGTACTTATAGTTTTGTTCAACTTGTGTAGCTTTCCTTTCCTCCTCAAAAGGAGCCCACACATAACATTATGTAGTGTGCTTTCTGAGGCCATCTGTACATTTAAATATAATTATACATAACATGTTCAAGGATTACTGTTTTTACACCTCTCACTGTTTGGTATCATGTTCTTCTTTTGGCTGAATGCGAAATTTGCTTTTAATGAAGAGGGCGGTAGAAAAAACATTTATTCTATACTGTACAGCGCTAATGCTATTATTAATATTTCATCAGTACATTTATTAGACAGCATATTTAACTAAGATTTTATTTAGGGTATTTATTTGACAACATGGGACAGAGAGACAGCGACAAGAGAAACAGACAGAGAGCAGCGTCTCAGAGCTTCTGATGTTTTAAAGAATATTTGGCTTGCATACAGTATAAGAATAAATACAACAATCTGTAAAGATAATACACAAAACACAGAGACATAAAATACACATTAAAATCAAACAACAGAGAGAGCAGCAGATGTCTCTGTGTGTGTGTGTGTGTGTGTGTGTGTTGTGTGTCTGTGTGTCTGTGTGTGTGTGTGTGTGTGTGTGTGTGTGTGTGTGTGTGTGTGTGTGTGTGTGTGTGTGGGAGTACTGGAATGGAAATTCTATCCTTTAGGGTTACAACCTTTTGTAGTAAACTTTCTAAAGCTGCAGTTTGGCTACAAGAGCAGATGTAAATGCCCAGAGCACTTTGTGGAGCTCTGTACAGTGAATAAAACTCAAATTGCTAAATGCCTGTCCTCTGTTAGAGTAGGAGAGGATTACAAGCCATTAAACACAAAAGCATTTAAAAATGAATCACAATTCTCTACTTTCTATTTGAACAATAACATGTTAATCTTCATCATGATGCACAATTGTTTCCTTCAAGTGAGTGCAGTAGATCACGAGAAAACAGCAAAAATGTTTAAAAAATGTCCATTCCAGATATTGTTAATTGTAAATATATGAAGGCCAAATAAAGAAATGGGAGAAAAAAGCAGGATGCAGACCATAAACAGATCACATTTCTTCCATCTCATGGCCAACTTTTCACAAATAAAATCACTGAAAGCTGCTCACAGGTTTTTGAGATATCCTTCTGACAAACAAAACCGAAGACATGAACTCCTTGGCACGGGGAACAGGTTTTATGTGATTGTATGTGGATTTATTCTACAAACAATGCATACTGTTATCCATCCAGAGAGTCAGTCAAGCTGGTACCCACACGTCAACTGAGGGGGTTCTTTCTGAAATGAGAGCTACTGTTTGACCACCAAAGAACCAAAAGCAGACAATAAAAAATATTTTGTAAACTGGAAAAATGTGTGTCCCAGTAAGGTCAGCAGAGAGGAGTATCTCCTCAGACTCTGTAAATTTAATTATGGCTCCTACATGGTTACATGGCTGTTTTTCACACAGAATAACAACATCTTACAAGACTGGGATCCTTGAGACTACACCTTATCAAATATGGGCCTGATGTGTATCAATTTGGGGGACCTTTACAGCAAAAAGGTTGAGAACCACTGCTATTGAGTACTGCTCCCATTATAAGTAATAATGTCTTATGTGTAGAATCCAGAGTCCTGAAGCATTGCATATTTTCCGTGTTTGGGTGCAACCAGAATGGATTTGGACAAGGTAAATTGACTTAAGTATGGCAAAAAGCAGGTGGGACAGGGAATGTAGGGTAAGCATACAATGTGGGAGCTGGATCAGGTACTGATCAAGGAAATTTGGAGCTTTACTCATACTGGGGACTATAAGTCAGGAAATACAAATTGTTTCTTTAGCAGCAGGGATGGCCCTCAGAGAAAACAACTCACCCGTGTAAAATGTGTCCCATTCTCCTCTGTTTTGTGAAAAACAATAAAAGCTTGCTTTCAGCCCTGAAGAAATGTAACCACATTGAACTAGAAGAACAGCAGTGAGTCAGTCTAAAAGCATTTAGCACAAAGAAAAAAGTACAGACTGAATGGGAACCACACTACAGGTGGACTGTGTGTGTGTGTGTGTGTGTGTGTGTGTGTCTGAATTTAGCGGCTCGTAATTATTGCCATTATGGTGTCCATTATTGATCATTCGACCTTCCATCTAAGACCAGGAAGCGGAAAAACACTCATGATTATAGGTTGTAAAGCACCCAAGTCTGACGATTTTATTTTATGATTGTTATAAGCCTACGCAGGCTTTTTTATCCTGTTGCTATGGTGAGTAGTTTTATGGTTGCCAAGCTGTTAGTTTGGTCGTCATGGCAAAGACTCCGTTTCCTTAACTCCATCTTCTCATGTGAAGACTCTTTAGTTTATTTAATATCCCCACTGAATCCTGACCTTTACCAGCACACAGGAACAGATCTGTCTTTCCAATATGTTACTAGGATAACACACCACCTGTGTTGGATTATTTATTCCACAGTATCGTATGGTCTCTGTAATTCTCCATTGTTAAAGGTGCATACTGTCCTGATGCAGGTTATAAGCCTAATTGTTTTCTAAAATATGCACAAAAACACCTCTAAAAAGACAAAAGAGAGATAGAATATTTAAATGACAAAGGAAAAAAGTAATAAAAAATCACATTTAGTTCTGTTTCAGAATCTGAAAACATTCATGGGCTTATGGCTCCTTAAAATCAAATGAATGTCCTTCAAAATTTCTCCAAACAGCTGGTGCAGCATAATATAAAAGTTACACTTCATTACCTCATTATCTTCTGCATTTTCCTCACCAGCAATGCGTCTTTCTGACAGTAACAGTCGACCAGCATTAGGTCTTAAGAAGCTGCACTAATCAGTAATAATTATCACCTCACTCCGCAGTTCCTCTTAGCTCTACACCGTGTTTTAGGATCTTTCAGCTCATTGTCTTGGTTCACTCTTTCTGCTCCCTCATCAGTGTCGTTTTCGGCCACAGCAGGCAGTAAAACGAAAAGCTCAGATAAACCAACTGTGCTCTACCTGCTTAGCACCAAATTAAACTAAATTGTCTTTTTGTGACTTCTCCTCAGGTCCATGTGTGAGATAAACCTGGAGGCTGAGCTCTTCACCCTGCAGGACAGTAACGCCAAGCTGGTGGAAGCACTGCAGGAAGCCAACAGCAGCGTGGAGCAGTGGAAGAAACAGCTTGCTGAATACCAGGAGGAGACAGATCGCCTCAGAGACCAGGTGATGTACAGAAGGTGGATGAATGGACACCTCATAATACAATATCCCTGAAGCTGATAAAAATGTAGCTGTATGGTTTGGTAAAGGCTGGTTAAAGACTGTTGAGGTGTTCTACTTTTGACTCTACTTGTGCTGTTTAGTGGAGTTTATTCTGGCCTCAACCCATTATTTGAGAGTTGAGTTCATGTCACAATACGCCATATAAACAATAATGCTCAAACTTTCCCATTGTTGTATTTTGGGCCACTTCAAAGTGTTATATCCAACCTAGATTTATATTTAATTTAATTTGTTTAACTTGTTGTTTTAGGTTAGAGAGAGTAGCATGAAGCATCACTGTTGCTATGGTTACCTGCAGTTTAAAGGTATAAGGTTAGTACAAGGAGTACATCATTTTCCCCTTTTTTTAAAGGTCCAAAAGGGTGTAATTTGTTGTACAGTTTGTAAAGCCTTCTAAGAAAAACTGTGATTTACTATATAAAATGTAAAGTTGACTTGACTGGAGCACCAATTTTAGAACAATAGTTAAACTATTGACTGGAGCTGTTTTTTTTCAGATGTCTTGATACAGTTTTAAAAACAAAACACCTGTGAATTATTATTTTCTGATTCCTTGGTGTAGATTGGTGTAGGATGAAGTCACTACTTTAGTTTCTAAAGCTTCATATGGTAATTTAAAGAAAAACAAAATCAAAAAATACACAGCACACCTAGGGGGTCTTGAGAATTAAACATTTAGTAAATTTAATTGAAATATGTCTGAAAATACACATTCACATGAATCCAACATATGATTAGATACAGCGGCCTATTCGTTAAAAAAAGGGGGGGAAATATTACACATTATTTTAGGTCCAGTTTAATATGTAACAGTTTTATACAATATGTGTAGTAGGGGGTCCCTGCACCGTCTCTCTATCCGCTACAGGGTCCTTGGCCTGCAAAACGACCCTGCTAAAGTATCATATACCCCTGAGGTTAGTAAATTAAACTTAAAGCTGACAACTTGCATGGGACAGGAAGGCCCACCTCAGTTAAACTGAATAGACTTCCTGTTTTATTTCATTGAGCTGAGTTGAGTGTTTTTATCTGAGTGTTGCATTATGTGATGCTCTGTTTCCTGTCAGTCACTTCACACCCAAAGGAGGAAATTTGTACTCCAGCAAATCTCTCCAAAACAAGTCACTAACCATAAACTATTTTGTCACATCTTCGTCTTTTATTAAAGGAATCTGCATCAGCTGCACGGTAGTTCTTTTTAGTATGGTTTGGATATTGTAAACATAAATACCTAATATGTAAAAAATGAATATTTAAAGAGAGAATTATATACATTTTCCATTACTGAGGGAATTATAAACTAGATATGCTATAGATGGTAGTAAATTAACTTTGACTTGCATAATCACTAATTAATAATTGTTGTGATCAGGGTTATAATGTAGACCAAATCTTCAAACACATATGTGTGTGCATATGGTTTAAAATGACAGATGAGGTGAGTTTCTATGAAACACTTTTCTGTGTGACCACTCGGGTAGAAAATGGATACTATGCAGATTATTTTCTATTCATACATCTACAACTATCACACTGAAATCCCCACACAGGCTTGGTTTCCTCCAAACTGCAGATGCATTTTTCATCCAGCCCCCCGTCCTTGGGATATTTCTGTTGACAGGCTCCCGTGATAATCACAGGGCCAGAACGCAGACATTTCATCTTTAATTTAGAGAGAGAAAATTATGCCCTTGGTCAAGCTTAACAAGGCTTCTTCAATGCGACAGAATTAAGTGCTGCCGCAATCGGCCTGCAGTGGAGCTATTACCACCAGTGACAGAAAACTGGCCCTTTATTTTTAGCCCCCGTTGTTTCATCTATCTCTACAAGTCCAGGTGAAGGTTAACCCCCCCCCCAAACACACACAAACACACACACACTCTGCAGCAAAGTCAACCAGGTGGCTGGAAGTGGAGCAGGCCTCCAGGGTTTGGCAATGGGGTGTTGAGGGGGGGTAGGGATGGGGTTTTTTTTGTGTTTTTTTTTTTTTTTTTTTTTTTTTTTTTGGGACAGGACACCCTAAACTGCCCACCCCCTCCCGCTTCTCTGCCCCAGTTAGAGGAAAAAGATAAATCATCGTAGGAGCAGAAGGAGAGAGGTTGGCTGGCTTTTTTCTCCCTCGTCACACTCTCGGCTTCAGCCATGTTTGTGTTTATCCACAGCAGAAAGGTTATTCTAGGTTTATTTTCTGGGTTTCTGGGTTGACTCTGACCCCTGCTCAGGTTTAAGAGAATTAGTAACACATGGTGTAAGATTGTTTATTGTATTTGACTGCAGGATACTTGAATAGGTTTGTGTGTACTCTGTTTGGTATTAATATTTTTTATTTTTAGTAATTAATTTGACTTTTACTTGAGTAAGTATTTGCTGATATAATTTGTTTCGCTGCATTAGGATTTGTGTCTGTTGTCTATATAGATTTTTGCATGAAAACAACAGTAACCTAAACTATAACCACTACAAAATGTGACAAAGGGCTAAAATATGAAATATGTTCATAAAATAGAAAAAGATGTTTGATTTGCATCCAAACCCATACTTTCAGTGTGACTTTATTGTTTGCCTTTTTGTTTGTGTTTCTGGGGGATATTTTTTGGCAAATGGGATTTTTGGATGTAAATCAAGTGTCTAAATTCAAAACAAAACTGATTCCCTAGATAAACACTTTGTAGACTCAACATCTCTCATCACAAACTAAAGATACTGAGCTCAGAGAGTGCATACCTCCATCAAAGCAGCACAATTGTAATTGTGTTGGTTAGTTTAGTTAAACCAATATGACACCTAAAACAACCAATGGAAAAACAGAAGGTAGTTACTCTTAGTGGGTTATATTAGTAAAATCCTCTGTCATAGTGTGATAGTGTTATATTACAATATCATTATTTATCAGGCAGTGGGAGCCTAAAGTTGAGGGATGTGAGCTCATGACCAGGCAGGATACATTTGGCCGGGGGAAAGTGAAGAAGCAGCGCTTACCCCTCCCTCATTACCACCACTCCCTTGCTTTGTCCAACCAACAGTCCAAAACCTAAAGATATTAAATTTACTGTCACATATGACAGAAAAATAAAAACATTTGAGAATATTTGGAATTTCTGTTTGAAAAATCACCAATACAATCTCTGTCAATCTATTAAGACTAAAATGTTCCTAGGACCATTAATTTAGAAAGAAATCAGAGCTTTCCCAGGTTTTCCTCTGGAGTTGAAAGACATGGGGCTGGCGCCTCTGGGGACAGTAGCTGTCCAATACAGAGTAGATATGAAGGGATTCAGTCCTCTGGGATCACGCCCCCCAATCCCGGAGCGGTTTTCTGAAGCTTGGCTTGGATGGCGTGCAATGTATAGTGTGGAATTTAAAGGGACACTTTGAAATTGCCTGTGAAAATGTAGAGGAGATGCTTAAGGGAGGGGAATGGGAAATGCTGACATGAGAGCAAGAAATTCTGTCTCCCCTCGAACACACATTTACATTTCAGACATTCAGTGAAATGAAATGTCAACAATGAGCAATAACAAGCACTGTGATGCGTCCTACATCACCAATGTTAAAACAACAAAAAACTAAAGAAGGTCAAGAGTTAAGGCTTCTTTGTTTGAATTCCTTTGTTCCTGTAAAAGAAGCAGCATTTTTACATATTAAAGACAGCAACAAACTATTATTCTCATTCTCATAGATTAATCTGCCAGTTATTTTCTCAAACTGAATTAATTAATTAATGGTTTGGTCTTTAAAATTGCAGAAAATAATTCTTAAAGTCCAAGACAACACCTTCGTCTGTCTGTCTGACCAACAGTCTTTTACAATCACAACTATGAACTATGAAAAACAGCAAATATTCTTTTTGAGAATCTGTAAATATATTTCTTTAATCAGTTGACTCATCTATTCATTTCAGCTTTATGCAGTATTCTGAATTCAACCCTTTACTCCTCACAGTTGGTACATTACAGATTTTTCCAGTTGTTGTAAATAATGGCATAAAAAGAACAGCCCTGGTGTAAATTAACAACCGAATGTTCCACCTGTCAGCTGTGATCATGTCTAAAATCAGGTTTCATCTACAGCAGCTGACACTGGTGAGTACGCAAGTTGACAGGCAGATTGCATCCATTTAATTAAATTAATGCTATACTCAGAATACTCAGACTGTCATGTAAACCTTTATATCTAATTATCTTAATGTCAGGTTAGACATAACTGCTTTTAACACACAGATGTCTGAACAATGTGACCGTTTAAGGGCATATAAACACGTTATTCAGATGTTATGTTATTTTGTTTTTTCAAATTAGCTGTCAGCACTTCAGTCAGTTGCATTTACAAATCTGCTTACTCCTAAATGTGTAAACAAGACACATTTGATTGTTGTCTTAATCTGATTACTCCCAGAGCATGCAACAATAATAGAATATTGTTTTTCTTTTGTTGTAAACAAGGCCCAGTTGGAATTGAACCCCCAACCATAGCAGCTTTAGTTCCTTGCTCTTGACTGTTGAAAGGTAACTTTAAACTTTAAATCACATCATGTTCAGACTTCAAAGGCCTTTCTTGAGTGTCACTCACCATCTTTTGGCTTTTCTGTTAATATGTTAAACACAGATGGGAGAAAAATGTTTTTCATGTTTTTTCACACAGGGCCACATCCCTCCAGCAATTAAAAAAAAGTCTCCAAGACGAGAGTGTTCAGTACTGTGACCACTGGCAGAAAAGCCTTTTTCCACATAAGTGTTTGTGTGTGTGTGTGAGAGGGAGAGGGAGAGGGAGAGAGAGAGAAGAGAGAGATGAGAGTATGAATCAACAAAATGTCCTTGATTCATTTGTAGATTGCATAGTGAAGTGATGAATGCTTCCAAAGACACTCTAAATGGACTTCTATCAACTATGGAAATCCTTGTTTGTGTGTGTTTGTGATCGTGTGTGTGTGTGTGTGTGTGGGTGTGGGTGTGGGGAAGAATGTGTGTTTGTGTGTAGGTGGAATGTGTAGGCGATGACCCTCTGGTGGTTTACCATATAGTAAGCATCCAGCGTATGTGTATGTGAGTGTGTCTGTATGTGTGTGAATACAGTATATATTGTTGCTGCCGCATGTAAAAACCTTTTAATGCTAATTCTTCTAATTTCCATGTTCTCACTGGAGGTGAAGGGTGATGTGTGGTTCTCTGGATTTAGAAAATTGCACCACACATTAGGTTTATACAACCTTTTAAAAGCCCATTCATTGGATAACCACCCAATGCATCGCCCCCCTCATGACAATGGATTTCTGTTTACCCATTTCAGATTCTTGTTTCTCCTGCTTGTCCACCAGCAAATGGAAAAACCTAATTACATATTCCCATGAAACCTGGACTGATCAGCTTCAGACAAAGGACTAAAATAATTAGGTTAGATTATAAAACTAAATCAGGCAAAGACTTTCCAACAGACGTGGTTTATTTTATTTATTTTCAGGCTCAGGCTCAATTTAAAATCAATTTAACAGTAAAGGACCCCTGTGCTCGAGTGTAACAACAAGATGGAGACTTGTTTAGTGTGGTTGAAATTCATAGTTTCTACATGTCTGGTCTGCTGCTGGCTTTGATCAATATTTGTTGTTTACAAAAGAGACTTATTTCTTATAACATTTCTATTTTTTCTCATGATACCTATATTATTTTTAGTATTGTTTGCTGTGCAATGTTTAATATGACCTGTGAGCTCCCCTGTCAGCTTGTTCAAATGCACCTATATCACCTATATTATAATAATGTGATTAACAAGGTTACAAAATGCTTCCGGGAAAAAAAACAACAGATAAAAACAAAAACAACAGATAAAAACAACACAGGGCTCTTAAAACACCCGGAGATAAAATCAAAAAAGTGTGAAATGTCGAATGACTGCAACATATTAAATATCCATAAACTAATTTATTTTTGTGTTTATTATCTTTCTTTAATTTCATTTATCCCCCCCCCCTTTCTTTATTTGCTATTATTTCATATTATTATTTTTTCCCCTTTTTACGTTTATGGCTGCCTGGGATTGGGGGTATTGTGCTGTTCTTTGTTTAAACTCAATAAAAAGTATATATATATTTTTTTCATAAACGATTTCCTATCAAATAAAGTTCTAAGAGGGGATTTAAAAGACGTTAATTATATACTCTGTCTGATCTCAGTTGACAGACTGTTCTGGGGCAAAGGCCCTGTCACCTTTGGTCACATGCTGGGACTTAATAATAACCCTACATTAGAGAGCCCCAACCCTTCCAGCATTCAAACCCCCCAAACCAGTAGTTTTAATGTTATGTAAGTATTGTGTTATCTCGTAATGGGCTCTCTTTTTAACCACGCTATAGTGGTATGGCTCTAGGGATGGAAATGTCTGTCCATCGCACTTGTGCAGAAATATTTCAGCAGCTCTTCACTGGATTGCTCGCAGAGCCCCCAGAGAATGAATCCCCCTGACTTTGGTGAGCCCCCTGATCTTTTCTCTAGTGCCACCATGAGGTTGACTTTTGTGGTTTTGAGTACTTTTTAACAGATTACCATGGAATTTGGTACAGATATTCATGAACCTTCTTTGGATTCATTGTAATAACTTCTAGCGCCATCATCCGGTCCAAATTTTAATTTGCCCAGTAGGGCCTATTTTGGTTTATGACAAAATACCTGCAAAACTAATGATATTCCCATCAGCCTCAGCTGTATTTTGTGTCAAGTGGTAATTACCAAATGTTAGCATGCTAACACGGTAAAAATTTCAAATAACAGTCAGCATTGTAGCATTTGGCTCAAAGCACCGCTGTGCCAAAGTGAAAAGCGCTATATACATTTGTTTTATTAATAAGTATGTATTAATTGGGTGTCTCTGTGTGTGTTCCAGGTTGCAGAACTGGAGGCCCAGCTGGGGCACCCTACTGCTGGTCAGACTGGTCGAGAGGAGCTGAATCAGTCACTGGAGGAGCTGGAAGCCCAGCTGCAGGCCAAAGACCAGGTAGGACACCAGTTAACTCGCGACACAGCACACTTTCCAAATACATTTTCTATCCTGAAGGGACCCTCAGTGTGGAAGGATAGTCTACAAAACATCAGCAGTTATCAATTGGTTATGTTTGTTTTCAGTTTGTGAAAAAAGAGCCTCAGTCTCCATCTGATAAAATAAAAAACCCTGGAAACATTATTATTATAGTTATTTAGTAAATGTATTCCGAATGTATTTGGAGAGTTAGAAAAGTGTATTTGTTCTCTGAATCTTCCTTAAGGTTGTTACTGAGATCTTTCTGGTTCAATAATCCTGTTGTGGTCTTGTCCAAAAGATAATTACTTAACAAAATGTTCAAAAAGTGGATATGAAGGAAGAGAATGTGTCTTATCTTTGAGGCACTGGCATTTTTTATTGTTGATTCAGTGATTTAGTCAGACAAAGAGAGCTTTGATAAAATACTACAGGCTCACAAAATACATAAAAATGAATGCAGCAGATGTCCAGAGATGCCACCTACATGTTAAGTGAAATCAGGACTTTCTGACTCACCTTCAGAACTGTTTAAAAGCTCACTTTAATATCATTTTTTATGATGCCGAAACATCACCTTGTGAATATTTTGTGCCTGTATGAGCAATATCAAATGCGTGCCTGGGCATGCTCAGCCAAAAACCATTTTCCCTGGGTAAATAAAATGGATATTTGAGTGAAATATCCCTGAAAACAGTTTGCTGGTTTTTAATATAGCATTGTCTGTCCAGTCATCTAAATGAGTTCCTTTTTTGGCAACAGGATTCGTGGCAAGGTCGCAGTGGTATGTTTCCCCCTAGGGGCTGATGTTTCCTCCTCGGAAAACATCAACGTGTCCCAAATCTTATTGCCAAGCTGGTTTATGATAAATGACTCAGCTTCTTTTAGAACCACATGAAATATTTTTGTGCAAATTGAGAGATGAATGTTCCACGTTCTGATAAACAGGGATGGGTGGATGTGTGGGAAGGTTGTATTTGAACGTTTGAAATCACTCTGTTTTCAGGAAATTCACAATCTACAGAGCAAGAAACCAGATGTGGGTGAGCTAGAGAAGGAGAGAGAGGAGGCCATGCAGAGACTCCAGGTACGCTGACAACTGGCGGAGTATGTTGTTTCTCTCCTCAGTAAAACTTGTACTGGAGTGCTCAAACTGACTCACCAGGTTGTATTGCTTTGCAGGTATACTTATGTTACTGGGACGTCAAATCTAATTTCTGGACAAATAATGTATTTTAGGTTGTTTTTTTTTTTTTTTTCTCTTGTTGCACATAATTATACTAAACTTGTACCACACAAAACTGGTTCTTCTCACCTTTTTTATTGTTACTTAAGCTAGTGGAGCTTGTATTATGTCACAGAAAAGCATGAAACTACTTCATTGACAGGAAGAGAGAGCATGTAATCTTCAGTGTGAACAGAAACATTCATTTATTTTTTGATGCTTGGGATTTAAGTTTAAGTTATTTATTTGTCATCTGAATAATTACAATAGAGCCAGTTGTCTGGAATGAAATGGCATTCATATTCAGTTGCTAAGAGGTCGCCAGTTTAGTCTTTGAAGGATTTTTTTTGTTTGTCTTCACCATATTACATTTTTTTTTTTTTTTTACATTTTCCTGTCTGTTACACACAAATATATAAATAGACTGAAAACTTCATAAGAAACTCAGAAGTCTTAGTCATTTGCACACAGTCGACTAATTGGAAATCAAAGCACTGATACTGTACCTATAAAAGAGAGAGCACAGCTCAGACCTGCAGCAGGGAATCAGTACAGGAGAACTGAGGACTTCAAGGAGAAAACAAATTGTATTGAATTTCAAATGCTAATGCAGGAGATTATACCTGATGCATATTGCATAGCCTTTATTAGGTCTTCTGTCTTTTTAGTGGTGGTGTCATTTGTGAATTATGTTATTCATATTTGACCTTTGCTGTCCTTGTGTTTATTCCGTAATCTATTCATTGGTGCATTTTGCATACACAATAACCTTGTAAAATACAAAATTGCACATTTATATTTGCACCATAAACTATTTAAAGCAAATAAGCCTGATAGGATATTCTTAGTAAACTTGATTTCAGTCAGCAGCCACAAATGTACAATAATCTACCAAAATGCCTTTAAGCTAGGTGCTTTACTTGTACCTGCCTAAAAGTGGTTGTACTGCAGTTGCAACTGCTCAGTTTCAGTTTAAATGGACAATTTAAGTCTTTGTTAATGTATAAATTGGTACTATATTTGTATTGAAGTTTAAATGTACAAAAAGTCAGAAATTCACAGATTTTGTACAGAAAGAGTACAAACATTTAGACATACAGGTGGATAAATTATATTTCTCTACTAAACTCTGTTTTCAGATATAAACATTTGTATATTCTAATTTTGGAAACGGTAAACATTGTACTCCAGGCTTACATATATGCCTTTTTGCAAGCCCTATTATAGTGATTTACAATAATACTCTGCAAGGTGTATTACACAAAAAAATACATTATAAATATTTAAGAGCACCATCACCAACACAAAGAATGTGTACAACTTAGACAGCAACCCATGCAGAAAATATCCAGAAATACATCCAGATGAGAAAACTGTATTAACAACACTTAATGTGTCTGCAGGATGTGGAGAGACGAAACACAGAGTTGGAGAATCAGGTTCAGAGTGCTGAAAAGACGCTGGCCTCTAGCCGGGAGGAGCAGGAGCAGGCGGAGGTCGAGGTTCGACGCATCATCGAGGTTCTAGACGTCAAAATCTGCGACCTGAACGACCTGAGACAGAGCCTGTCCAAACTCATTGACAAATAGCCACAGCAGCAGTTGGGCTGCATCTCCACAGTCAGCACTGGTTCCACCCATGTAGCCTTGATTTGTGTTTTACTGGTGCATCAGCAGAGCAAAAATCAAAACAATATGGGGGAAAACGCACAGATGTTTACCTTCATGGATCTGTTTTTTTTTAAGATCAGTGGCGGTAAACAGCAGGTATCAGAAAGCTTAAAGGTGTTATGTGCAGAATAAAACATCATTGTCATTGTCACATTAAAACTGCAACCTTGGTATGATTATCATAAACAGATGACAGTATGGTCTAATCTGCTAAACTACTTGTTTTTCCATACCAGCAGCTCCATGTCATTTTTCTTTTGTACCAGGTTTTACTAGTATTTTTCCCATCTGCCATCACTGAAAACTCTGAAAGCTTTAGATCCATTTCCTCTGGAAGAACAGGCCCTCCTCCTCTTTTTGGTGCCCTAGCAATCCAGTGTATTGTGTTGTTTAGAGTGTACAAGTACAGCTCACAGTCTTTTCAGTGATGGTCTCAATTGTTTATGGTAATTATACTGATGTCTCAAAGGGACTGCGGTTACATTTATTGATCACTAATAATACACAAAGTACCTTCAAAGGAGGATTTGCACCAGAACTAATTTTAAGCTTGCTATTTTGCAAAAGTAGACATTTCCAACGGGTATCAAAGATTTTCTACTTCTGTTTGATGTATCTTTAATTTAATACAGAGTGGGCAATCTACTTGTATTAGTGCATTTTCTGACCAAATTAAGAGGGAAGACTAGCAGTAAAACTAGGAAAAAATCTGAAGATAATGGTCTGACTGTGTTTAATAAAAGTCAGTGGTGCTCTGTTTTCATGCTGAGCTGAAGGTCTCGATCATTCAACCGTGTCTGGCACAGACAGTGAAACTGAAGTGCAAGTGCTGTAACAGCAGGACTCACATCAGGACTTAAAATGGCTGAAAAGTAAAGTTTTATGGACAGTTACACTTTTATACCCATACTAAACATAAATATTTATCATATATTCTGGACATTTCATTTATAGAAAAAAACAAAGCAACTCTTTGTTTTTGTCACTGCAGTTTGGCACAAGACTTTGACCACATTACTCTAATAGTCTGAGGCCCATACATAATATATAATAATAGTCCTGTGTGAATGAGGCTTTTAGATTTGCATTATCTTAGAAGGTTATTGGTAGATCTCAGAAGTCACTGCAAGTAAGACAGCTGAGAAAAATCAAGACAAGCTTTAAGAGTAAAATGTCTGCTTTTACACAATAACAAGCTTGAGGTCACACTGGTGTCATCCTTCCTTCAACACTGTGGAGATGCACAGAATAGGAGTTTAGTCGAGGTACGGACACATGGAGGCAAAGACCCTGAATAAAGTCAGCTCCAGTTCACCATCAGCAGCCTAAACTGGCCTCCCACCAGCCAGAACATAAACAAACTCAGAGATGCAACAACCTGCTCACACTCTGTCCTCTGAGGATCGCTAGCGTACAAACGTTTTTTGTTCATGTTTAATGAGGACTGCTCTTTCTCACCATTTATTCTATTATTCATGTTCATCGATGGGTTACTCACAGGAAGGGATGGGAAATCAACGATAGCAACCAGCCAAATTGCTCTTAAATTCAAGATGCGGTTGTCTGGCAGGTTTACCCTCTCCATCAGGCCACGTTGACAGCTGGATCAGCATGTGAAGGAAAGGTCCTGATGTGAAACTGTGGCCTGTGGACAGAGACGCTGCTTTCCCACGCTGATGTTGTGCTGAGTTGAACCTGAGGTTGCACTTGATATTGTTTGTGCCAAGTTTGTTTTTGTTTACATTTGTCAGCATTCACAAAATAATCCAGTTCTACTTTATGTACTTTTTTTCTGTGTTGCTCAACACTACCATTTACCATAATAGTAATAATAGGCTCAGTGGCGCCGCAGAGCATAGATCACTATGAGAGCACTGCATGAGCTCTGCAGAAGCCCCATACCTGCTAAGGAATGTGAAGCTGTATGTGTGTGTGTGTGTGTGCACAATACTTAACAGCCTGCAAACGGAGACTGCTCGAGTTAAAAAGCACAACTGCAGTAGTTTTAGTAAGCGGGTACTTAATTGACTTGTCTGTCAGCTTTGTATGTGAACTTCTGATGCACAATATCTATCGATCTTTGCTTCTCGCCCCCGATGAGTTATTGATTTCTTCATATGACAGTAATATAGGTACAAATAAGGTGCATTCCTTTGCAGCTGATGATGCAGTAACTACAAGGATCATAATAACATGTCAAAATGTGATTTAAATGGGTCATAACGAAATCTGTTGATTTAATAAAGTGCCAGATAGTGTACTAACACCCCATTATTCCAGTGATCTGCAATTATTTGTGTTAGACATACAAATACTTATACAGTTCAACAAGCCAAATGCAGTAAAAATAGTTATGTTACTGCATTATGTTGCTATTGATCACATCCAGAGATTTTATTATACCACATTTACATTAAAACTTTCACGTTTTGTCATTTTGACAAGTGATTACACTATCTTGGAGTTCTGACATCAGCTGCTTCATGCAAACATCACTCAATTAGCAATAAAGTTACTAGCATAGATGCTTGTTAATACAATTAATCTGTAGGTAATGAGACTTCAGTTCAGACTGCCCCGTTTTTATTTCATGGCTTCACCAGATTATTAATGGACTAGCCTTTTATCAAGCATGAAGAAAAAATGCATCAGAGGCCATCGCCTCCTCTGCACCATCTCCTCACGGTTGACGTCCGAAACACTTTGCTTCACAACAACCTTATTCCAGTGTAGGGGGGGCAGGGACTGTCGTCTGTAAGACCAAATTTGCCCCCAGGTGTCAGTACACTGACCTCTCTATTGAGGTTGTAACAGAGGACTAAACCAGCTGCAGCATAAATAGTAGAGGCAGGTTTAAGGACATTGCTCACACTATATAAAAAAAACCCCACAATTAACAGCAATAAATGGAATATGTCTGAACATCTGTGGGTGGATTCCTCCTTAAATACACTGGAATAAGGTCTTTGCAGACTACAAGAGAGAATGCAGTACCAAAGACGCACCGCTGTCATGCTGAAGCCACATCAACTGGAATAAACAACTAAGATTCATCTCCATCAGATTTTACCTAAGTTTGACTTTGCTCCGTGTCCAAAACATTCGACCTTTCAGTACGACTCAAAATACCTCAGAATAGTTTCATTGAAGTGTTGGTAAATACGAGGAAAAACGGTCGACTGGTGTTTGTCAATTGAAGGCCATGATTTTGTTGTTTCGTAAGAACTGATGAATTGAGGAGAGCAGGTGTTTGTATGGAATTTGACAATGTGAGATGAGTTCCTTATATTTGTATAGAACTGTTTAACATTAAAACTCAGTCATGCAGTCACCTCTGTAGTCTTGGATTGTGTGTGATTCAAGGGCAAGAAACTGATGTGGAGAAAAAACCTACAGTTTACATCTTACACACATATTTTAATATTCAACATGTCAGCCGATAATAAAAAAACAGTTTGTCAGTCAGTTAAAAGCATGATGATTTCTAGTATTGCTTAATATTTCTAGTGAGCAGTGGCTGCCGTGTCGCTTGCTATTAACAGCAAGGGTGGGGGAAACGGAGTGCAGGTGGCATATAATATTTTCACAGCTTTTCTGTATTGGCAGAGACAGTACACTATCTCCCATTTGGATTCAGCCACCACCAGCCATGTGAAGTGTGTTTATTAGTCTATTGTTAATGGTGCAGTTGGGACACGTGGTATTGTGTTACAGAGCCCGTCAATTCAGACTGCAACAAAGGGTATGTGCTGCTTTGTGTGCCAAGTTGAAATAAAATGGAAACCACAGCCAACCAGTACAAACCGGCACTCTGCCTGTTAAGTTTTAGAGTGCACCCACTGTTAGTTTCAACCAGTGCCAGTTCCAAGAAGCAGGTTTATTAAATTGCCCAGATAACTCATTGAACTGGTTTCCTAGAACAGGCCTCGAACGTAAACTTCTTGCCAAACTCTTCTCATGAATATCTTCATTTGCGAACATTTGGCAAACACTGACATAAGTTTATGGCACCAGCTTCATCTGGTTGTGAGTCAGCCTTGTTACCTTTTCTATGCTATTAAAGTCTCACTGCACAGCCTCACAACCACGTAATGCACACGTGAATTTAAATGAAGCCACAAATTCACCACTTTTCCCTGCCACTGAATAAGACAAGTCAGACAAGCAGGATCATTTTCTCACATTTATTTTAACACAAAATGGCTTTGAGAGCCGATTAAGTCAAAATGTCTACTTCAGCTTCTTCTTGGGGCGAAGGTTGTTGGTGTGTCCACACTTCTTCTTGCGGCAGTTGACAGCACGGGGGTGCAGACGGGCATAGCACCTGCAAAAGAAGTGGTCAGGGGTCAACTATAAAGGACAATTCTCCTGAACAATCAGTGAAGTTCTGAAGTAGTCAAAATGTAGTCACAGTTCAAGATTTATTATATGAAACTAGCAAATTAGTGTGAAATGCTGGCGAAATAACTCAAAATCCATCAATTCGTCATTCAGTATGTTTATAAGAATGACTGAATTTGAGAGAGCCAAAGCAGCCAATTATAACTCTCCCATCTTATTTTAAATCCACACAATTAATTAGTTTTCCATTTTTATACAAAGACTTCCTAAAACTCCAAGCCACACTGCAGGTGGTGCTATTTTAAGGCGGTTTAGTCTAGACTTTAATCTACCACCACGCTGTAATTAACAGCAGACAATGAGACAAAATTGAAAACCGGCTGCTTTGACGATTACAGGACTTACTTGCGGCAGATCATCTTGTCGCAGTTGTATTTCTGGGCCAGCTGTCTGAGGGAAGGCTCGATGATGCCACCACGCAGACGCAGAACCAGATGAAGAGTGGATTCTGGTGGGCAGTGAATAAACATCAATGTCAATCTCAAGTTCAGTCACATCCACAAACAGGGCAACAGAAAGCATTATCTACTCCTATAATAACCAGGTACATTGTAAAAGCGTACAACTGTGATCTTAAGAATGGAAAAATACACTTAATATGTATTCGTAGGACATTTCTTAATTGTGGGAGACAAACTTATCTAAATCTTTTACACACTTTGTTTCACATTGAGAAGCCTGTATATGGTTTACTGTTACCACTGACACATCCTGCACATCTGGCCTGGTTGTAACTGACCTTTCTGGATGTTGTAGTCAGACAGTGTGCGTCCATCCTCAAGCTGTTTGCCAGCGAAGATCAGACGCTGCTGATCAGGGGGAATTCCTGTAAACACAACACTTATTAAAACAAACTGCATTTACATTTGACCATTAATAACTTAAAGTGCAAGAAGTTGGCTGTGACTTCACACATGACAAACATTTTACTACAAAGCACTAAAAAAACCATCAGACCAATCTACTAGGTAGCTCTAAAGCAAAATAACACATTTAAATTTACACATATGGTGCTCAACTATTAAAACAAATGAAAATCTGAAGATAAAAAAAAAATGGACTGGAACTTTTTACAGGTTTAACTTTTAAATTTGAGTGCCTGCTCACCTTCCTTGTCCTGGATCTTTGCTTTGACATTTTCGATAGTGTCGCTGGGCTCAACCTCGAGGGTGATGGTCTTCCCCGTCAACGTCTTCACGAAGATCTGCATGTTTGCAGGCTGAGAGACAGAAACCCGACGTTAGCTCCGTTAACTCCTTCACCACACGATAACAGTCAGGCTATTTCACAACAACACACAAGTGAAGAAAACACATGTATTATATGTGACATTAGAGCATCTACAGCGTTTCTAAACTGTTTTATTAATCCTGAAAGGTGAGGCTGACTTTTGGTTCGCAGCTAACGATGTTAGCTAAAGTTAGCAACAGAGCGGCCTCGCCACATGCGTGCCGCTAACGTGGAGCTCGAGCACCGTTTTCTCTATTTTACTCCCTTCAAACTGAGCCAGTAACACCTACAGCACAACGACTGTCGATGTACGTTCAACAATATATAGTTTTATTCGCATTCAACAACTAAACTATCACTTAAAACGGGTAAATCCGAGGCGGACGGAGAGTGTACCCACCCGGCCGCTAGCTGAGCCTCAACGAAAAGAGAGCGGAAGAGGCTGCCGCTCGAATACGTCACTTCCGTCAGCCTGGACCCTTCAACAATAAAATCATTTTTAGTGTATTTTTACTCATTTTTAAATTAAACTGTGTTCAGTTTAATTTTTAAAAGGCTATTAACTATAGATCAAACTTCTTGTTGACTTACATCGCTCATTTAGTCCGATTCATGTCCAGGTTATAATGAGACTAAATTAAATAAAAAGGCTTCTGCCGGTTTCGACAGATTTAGGAGAAAATCCTCTGATTCAATGTACGATCCAGCGAAATGAGCGGACAATAGTACACTTTCTGTTTCTTCTTAATGTGCCAGCATTTTATTCCACAATAATAGACCAAGGCGAGCGACATTGAGCGGTGTGATTCATTTTAATAAGCTGACAGCTCATTGAAAAGCGCATTAGTGCCTAATTAAACAACTAAATGTGATTATTGAGAGGCTGTTGAGTCACATTTTGTGTTTTGATAACCCAAAATTATTTTCTATTTATTTCTAGAAGGCGGTTCAGTGTATTAGAGATAAAGTGCAGTGTATGTGCTGGACGACTGCTCCAAAATTAAGTTTGACTGACACCTGCTGTTGTAATGATGTTGTTGAGCCACATTGTGAACACGAATGAACTAAACAGCATAATGTGTTAATTTTTGTATAGCAAGCAAATACAGTGTATGCTATCATTAAGTTAAATTTAAGAATTTAATTCCATTACATTTATACTACTGTGCTACTTTATAGTATTCATTATTTATATTTATTATATCCATATAGAACTTGCATGTAATCAAAGACCGTGGTTTTTTTTTAATCTGGTGTTATATATATTTATTTCTTATTTGGCAGGCACCACTTCAAACACCATGCACTTAAATACAGAAAGAATCATGCTACTCTGCAAGTTGGTATTGTAAGTTTATCTAAGGTAATGCTGAATTATGCATTACACTCTTGAAAAGTGGGAAGCATGTCCACTCCAAATATTTTGTAGCCTCTTATAGGTGAGTAAACGCTCCTTTTTTGTAACAAGGACAAAGCCAAAGGCAAAGAAGGAAGTTTAAAATTACACAAAATTATCCTCAAAGACTGAACACCATGAAAACTTTGATTTTTTTTTCTTGTTAAGATTGAGCAATTGTTTGTGTGTGTCTTTGTTGTAGAATAAAATGTTACAGTTGAATAGTCGTGTGTGTCCACTCAATGCATGTGGCAAGGTAATAGGACACCATGGTATGCATTTGTTTCTCAGCAGGAGCAGCAACAGTAGCAACATCATCATGTTCCACAGCACAGAGGTTTCCATGGTGAGGCATTGTAGCATTTTTCACCTGCTTCAGAAGAAGATGGCTGGCTTAATCAAAGAGTCACAGTAATGTAAGGAGGACACTGGTGGTTTCCAATATGACTGCATTGGTAAAAACACTGGTCCAAGCCCGTCCTGTGGGCAAAAACCGTCTGTCTACCAACATCCCATTTCCGGACAACAATCCAGATGTATACTCAACTAGTTTCCAGGAGGACTTCCAGCCTTTTACTTCCAAAAAGGCAGAACCATTTAGCCTGCCCACCCATGTCGAGGTGGACCACAAGGACTTGAGGTACTTCAAGGATTACCTGACAGAGGCAATGGTGTCTTACCAGCGTCACCCATTGCCACAGATTCACTGCACCCCACACTGGAATGCGCTTCGAACCAACTTCAAGATGCAAACAGACCCTGGGGAGGATCATTTCCTCACCACCCAGTCGCAGAAATTCCCGCACCATCCCTTCCAACCCCTTCGCACTCCCATCCGACAACCATTGGCCGCCAAGAAGATCCAACAATTGGAAAAGCTCCAAGAAAGCACCACCAGAGCCTCCTTCACCCTACACCGTGGCTCTCCTGTTGTAAAAGTCAAGGTTAAACATTTAGGTCAGTGGCAGCATTTTTAATTTGATTGTGATTCTTTTTATGCCTTTTAAAGTAAAACTGTAAATCCATATTAGATTATGGATTATGGATTAATATGATTAATGTGAACGTTCATCAAATTGAGTTCAAAGTTAACGTAACTCTAAAGAAATGGGTAAACATTTAAAAAACGGTTAGCCTTTCAGCCTAATCTTGTAAACCTTGTAATGAATAATGGTGGAGGAATCTGTGTGAGGGTTAACCCTGCAAAATGTATGGTCTGATAAAATAAAATAAAAATTCTTTCTCTGTAGAAGAGGGCTTTCCCACAATCAAAGGAGACAAACGCCAGCACAGTTTTGTGTCCGAGTACGACAAGACCTTCCAGGGAGCCTGGAGCAGAGCTGCTCAGTCTGTGGATAAGGTAACACAGCAGCAGCAGCTGTTGGCCATGAGCTATTATGATCAAAGGATTTTATTCCAACCAAATGCTTCATGGCTTGAATGAAAACCTGCAGACCCTTGAGGGAAACTGTTGCCATAAGACTCACAAACTGACTTATGCTGGTAGTGTAAAAAAAATAAATTCTCATAATGCAAAATCAAAACCAAATTTAAAATGAGCAGCAGCCACAATACCGCATTCTTAGGTAAAGATTAAACAACAAACAAGTACATTTACTTGAGTAAAGTGCTGTACTTAAGTCATTTTTTTTCAAATAATTCTGTTTCAATTCCTCTCTTTTTTAGATTCCCAAAATGTTGTACTCTTTACTCCACCACAGCTATAGTCTTTGTACATTCAAAACATATGATTAACATATAAAATATCATCCATTTCAACTGTGCAGCAGTAAAGTTAAGTAAACCCAACATAGACCGAAAAAAGGGATTTGTTGGACCAACTCAAAAAAGACACTTCAATTGTTAACACACATATGAAAGTTTTTTTTATATCAATTTGATAAAAAGTGTGTAAATTTAACTTGTTAACTTGATTTTAAAAAATGTAATTCCTTGTGTTATCAATTTAAGTATTTTTTTTAAAATACTAAAAATACAGAAAGTCTCAGTATTGAGAGTATGCTTCTTACATGTTTCTGCATTAATTTAATTTAATAATCAAACATTGACAGCAAGTCATGCTTTATTGCTGGCACAGACAGTAGATTTATCTGTTAAAAAAAATTAAGTGAAACTGTCTTTACCACTCAGCAGTTCCAGGAAAGCCATTGTCGTTGATACAGATATACTCAGGTTAAAGCAGGATGAAGAAACACTATGACCTAGGATACCAGCACTGTCAACTCTAAGTAGACACACACATTTACAAGGTTATTGGCCTTTTAATGAAGCTTTCCGTGAAGTGTTATCAGCACAAGAGCGTGACTGTGACTGTTTTCATGATGTCTTTCTACAGCACACCTCCTCAGTGCCTATGGGTGATCCTGTGAAGATTGTGGAAAGAAAGACAACCCACGCTGCGTCATTCAGCCAGCCCAATGCGTGCAGGTCTGCAGCTTTTCTGCTGGGCCGGGTGTCACCTTTCAGATCTCTTTTTCAAATATGTTGGAAGTTCAAGGTGTCTTGGATGCCAAAGGGGACATTTGATTGACTCAGAGGCATCTAAAATCTAAATTTCACAATTGTCTAAAATATAATATTTTAGAATTATTATTTGTCACTCTTTGAATTCTGATTTTGAGTTTACAAATATAATCAAAGCATTATTTGTGTTTTTGATACAGACCGCCTGTGGTGAAAGAGCGTTTAAAGCTCAACCTTGGACATTTCTCTCAGGACTCATGGTCGTCCACTTCCAAAGAAACTTTTTGTCACCACAAGCTGAGTGAGTGTTTTCTGTGTTAATTTTTTATTCAGTTTTCATTCTGGCAAAGAGACCATTCAGATTTATTTACAGAGATATTGGGACATGAGTGCTTACATTTTTACAATTGAACAGCCAAATCCTTAATCTTATTCTAAAACTATCAAACACTACTCTATTAATCTATCTATGTCGTCTTTCCTGGATTGGTCTATTTGCTTTAATTCCCAGGAGATCCAGTTGTTCTGATAAAGAGGAACCACAATTCCAGTTACTTACCCAAGGGAGACACTGACATGAGCCGCAACAAAGAGAGGTTGTCTGTCACTACCAACAGAGTTGAGTTCTCTGAAGTGAGTCAGCAGACCTTCTACTTAGTTACATTTCTTTGTATAATATTACTTGAACATAATGTGCATACATGAATCATAAGTCAACATTTTACACTTTATGACTAATGCACACATGTTCCTATAGACTTTTGTTGATTTTTATGGAGTTTGTTATGTTGAAATATCCTACTGTTTCATATTTAATCATGCTGATTATGTTCCTCTCTGAAGCTGAACCAAACACATCCAGTATATGGGCCTGGGCATGACCTGATAACCAAAAGCCATGTGCACTTCAGCCCAGGCCATCTGTCAAGAGAGTACTACACAACCACGGTCCAAGAACACTACAGCAAACAGGATGGAGAGCGAGCCAGACCAGTCGTCCAGCAGTTGAGCAACATACTGAGTGGACCAGGTGATGCTTCGGTCTTGTTTATGTGTTTAAAGGGATGTGCATGTAGATGTTAAATGCGTTTAATCTGTTTGGCAGAACATGATCTGAGCCACAGCACCACCAAGAGTGACTACGTCCCTGTGCAGATCTGCAGACAGGCACCTTATCAGTCCCAGCAGAGGGTGAGATAAACTTAAATAAAAATGTCCCCACTCACCTGTATAATTTAATAACAGTAGTAGCAGCAGTGGTCGTTGTAGTAGTTAAAAAGTTTGATGTTTGATGCTCCTGTAAAGTTGTGTGTCTCATTGTACATTTCATTTTATTACCACTGAGCATAGTATGATATAATAATACAATATTGCCTCTTTTCATTAATCAAATAGAGCAACTTCAAGTTTCCACAGGCCCATCTGCTCTTCAGCACCACCCACAGTGAAGAGTTCATCCCCCAACCTTTGACCTTGCAGTGTCCTGGCCCTTCCCTTTACACCAGTCATTTTGCCATACAGTGACTGAGAGACACAACTTGTTTTCTTTCTCTTGTGTTCTTGGTCAGCTCCTGATAAACAATACAGTCAAATCAAAAGTC